CTAGGATATAATTATTCATGAAACATATCATATGGGGCATTAAGTTGGTAATCAGGTGTTGCATTTGTGCTATGTAATGATGTATTGGTTGAGGAAATAAGTGATAAAATGAAGCTTACCGGTATGCATCATTCTCCCTCACCCTCCTCCTCCTCCCCCGCCCTTTGACACGTAGTACGCCGCCACGCTGCCAAACCTTGGACGAATTTCACTCATTTACTTATTTTTGTTCTTAGGGTTATTATATGTTATATTTATTTATTTTTTACTTTAATAACATTGAGGGTGATAAATTTTTTTAATAAATAATGTCATTGTGGTGAAATAAACAATGGTGTTAGGTCAGTAGTTGTGGGTCTGGCCGCTAGAGTTTGTCGGCATTAAGTGGCATATTTTTAGCTGTATTTTGTAACCTTCGGAATTTTTCTTGTAAATGTAAGAAAATATTGTGTTCTTGATGTGCATTTTGTGCGTTACAGCTGTTGGAACTTATTGAGAATGGAACATTCATCTCAGAAGGTATGTAATATTGTAAAAACAACGTCAATCTGTTGTTTTAAAGAGCCAAACACCTAATACGTGTACATTTATCTGTCGTCAAGATAACGTCAGCCAGTTATCACACGAATTCATACATAAAACCTGTCAGTTTATTTAGTCACTGCGTATTGTGGAGAGAAGAACAGTGAATAACGCAGATTTGGTGTTACCTAAAGGAAAATGGTGTTTGCATTGTGTTAACTTAAGAAAAGGAACTACTTCTGAAACCCCCCCTTAAGTGGAATTAATATATTCATCCTGAAATAATCTCAGAGGAATTTAAATGCGTGATAACACTAGCTATAACTGTTGGATAACGCAACATCAAATACCATTGTTGATTCTAGAAATTTCCAATCAGGTAGACGTGGGTAGAAGGCTCATGGTTAATTTTCTGACTGTATTGTTATTATATATTGATTCTTATTGGGGAAAAGTGTAGGATATTTGAAGAAAAAATGGACAAATTTACAGTGAGGAATTTTGCGATAAGAAAGATTGTAATAACTGTAAAATAATAAAAACAATTCTTATTTAAGTAACGTAAATTTTAAACGAAAGTGTTTCATAACGTCGCCAGGTAATAGTCATAAATAAACTGCCCGACTGATGTGTTAGGAGTGTAGTGAAGAGAGGGCCGTGTAACAGGGCACAGTATAACACAACAGGCTGCTGAGCTGTTGTGAGTTAGTTCAGTTACGTTATTTCTGTATTAAGGTCTTCTTGAATAACGAACGGGCTCTTCCTAGTGTGGATAAGCCAAACATTACTGCAATTTAATGAGCTGATGAGGTTGAACACTATCATTTCTACAGCTGTCCATTGACACGCACAATATATAATATTAAAACGTGTTCCAATAATATATAATGTATATTGAACAGTGTGGTATTGTCAGTATTAAATCTTTGGTGGTGGTGGGCTTTATTTAAAATCCAGTATTTCTATTAATTTACGACATCACACTGAAAATGTTAATCCCGTATTGGCTGTAATCAAAATTATTTCCCCGCTTGTTTCGGGTAAGGGCAGTGTCACTGGGTCAGCAGAGCTTCACTTTAGTGCATACTGACATTTTATATGACTGAGATTATTCATGAAATCCAGTTTTTGGTCCCGCCACTGAAGACGAAAATACGTTTTCCAAGCTTTATTCTTTGTTGGGACGAACTCTTTTATGGTTTATGAATATATGGTTAAACTTCGCGTGTTTATTTTTTATTTTATTTTACTTGACAAACCCCAGATTCAATTGTATGTCAAAGGATTAGGTCACAGCTGAACGTAAAAATCAGACGAGTGTAATGAGTTACGTTTGTGGTACTCTTGTTATGTGTTTATAATCCATGAGAAACTCTTCCCTTTAAACGCAATGAAAACGAACCCTTTAAATTGCTCGAACGGAACGCAAAATATTTTAGCCTGTTCGTTAGAATGATCCGAGATGAACATTTACGAGGAACGATTTCATTTACCTTTCTACCTAAAGTTTAATGTTAAATGCTGGTTAGTATGTTACAGTCTCGTTCAAGATTCTTCGAACACTGCTGGAGACAGCTGGCAACTCATGGCCCTTTGTGTACTATAGTACTTAGTAAAAATTATGAATAAATGTAAAAGTGATCGGTGATTGGTTACTCAGTTCCCCGTTGCTTAATTTAATGGTTGGGCTTTGTTGTTGAGTATTATATTATACTATGTACCAAAGTAAACAAACGGCCTTGAGTTGCCACCTGTCTCTAGCAGTGTTTGAAGAATTTTGAAAGACTGTACGAACACGGAATGTATTTGGAGACACCTGCAGTATGGTTTGGAATAGCTATATAGAACAGTCGCCAAACATTATTATTACAGATATAATTCACACACGTTACGGCTCTCCATACAACGGTATTCGACTGGCGCCTGATTCATTTGATTAAAAAAAATTTTGTTTTGAAGACGTTTCCACAAACACTACAACTAAAGCATATGAAAAATGATGATTTTAATGATATCTTATGTATTCATGAACTGTGTAAAAGAAGCGATGTCGTTACTTGGTAGGTCAAAATTGGCTTTGGTCTTTCCCAGCTGAACCAGCTCACACTGACCACTCTTGGGGAATAACTCGCAGGTAGTTTACAGTACTGTTATTACTTAACATAATAATAGTTAAGAGAATACATTCACCACTGCCACAAAGTTTAGGAGGGAGAAAGGAGATTTTTTTTATGTACAGAACATACACTATATGACAATTATTTCTTGGGTCAGGTTCCTTATGTGCATCTCTCTATGGCAAATTATGTTTGCATATCTCAAAATGAAATTATATAAACTATATTTTGTACATAGAACATGGACCTGCATATTAATTTACCGGGAATTTCCTTTCGCAATCATTCGGCTTTTTGTGCGCGCGTTAAACCAAACCTACTAACAGTGTCTTTTACATAGATAATTACTGTTAGAATTTCAGATGTACTTTACCTATTTTGAACTTGGTTATACATTAGTAGACATTATGACAGCTTTAAGGTGTCCTTGTACAGTATGTATTTGGTAGAACAGGATCAAAGGTTCCAGGCCAAACCGGCTCTCGGTTTTTAATCCTTCGTTAGATATGGTTAACGAGAAGTGGTGAAGGTGTGTTTTAATATCGAAGGATTTACTGGTAAACTTATACTGTTCACTTAAAATAATACTTTAGGCATATACTTGTCAATAATACTCGATGACCAATAAGCATACGCACCATATTTTAGTCGGCTGCCGGATCTCTTAATTACTTTCCTGCCTAATAAGTGCTTCCGACCTGTCTTGGATATAATAAATTCACCTGTCTCCTTTTGTATTTTGTTGATTAACCATCATATATATACAATTCAGTATTTTAACTCGTTCTAGAAAAAAAATGAAAAAAAAGACGCTCAGTTTTCATCCCCTGTGGTGATAATTTTGCTTGAGCAATTAGAATGGTTCACATTTTCACCATGTAACATGTGGCGTGACTCCGCAAAACGGGTTTTAATGGGTCAGGCACAAGAAGGCTTTCATGCATTACTTTCCCTCTCTTGTTCTATTTCACAACGCTTAAACACGTAGAAAATTGTGTGGTGTGAATCTGAAAACAATCCAGTGTTAACAAACAAGCAGTGTCCTGCGCATGAGCAGTCGTCGGGACAAATGACAAAACTGTTTGACTGTACACTGCAACATTTTGTAGCGTATTTGATTAATTTATTTCATTACGGCTCTTTATGAACATGCGTTAACCACCTTCCTAAGAACTACCTAGGGTAATGTATTTGGAATAATTGAAGATAAGAGATGGAACTGTTGGTGAACCCATACGCAATTTCTGGCCGAGTCGATGATGTTGGCAAGTAGCCAGAAGTGTTGTACGCGGGTGCCATTAGAACAGTTACGCGGCACTGACCTCTGGCCAAACACTACGGCTGTAACAAAATGCTCACTGTTTTACTCTTTGGCATTTGACTCCATATTTTACTTGGTAGAAGCAGATAAATATGTTCCCTCGCAAAACATAGCTGATAAACAATGTACTGTAATTCGTAAACACATAGATAATATAATTATATAAACGTGTTTTATAGTTCTCCAAATGGTGTGTGTCATGCCTGACATTGTTCATGTGTAAGCCTCTGTGATATGCTTGGCATTGTGAATGCGCAATGAACCTATTCAACATTCACGGTCATGGTGTTAGAATTATATATATATATATATACATATATATATATATATATATATATATATATATATATATATATATATATATATATATATATATATATATATATATATATATATATATATATATATATATATATATATATATATATATATATATATATATATATATATATATATATATATATATATATATATATATATATTGTGTGTGTGTGTGTGTCGTTATTTTTTTCCATGGATGTTCTTATCATTATAGTAAGTACTTTGAACGAGGCGATAGTTACTAGAACCTAATCGAACCTGACCTAACAACAAAAGAAACCTATTTAGCCTTATCTAACCAACCGAAAAACCTACCTAAACCTTGCCTAACTTCACTATGGTTATCATAGTGAAATTTAGCACATTTTATACTATTTTAAGTGTCCATAAAAAATGGTGACCATCAACTCGTCCATTGCGCATGTACTGTGTGTGCCACCTAACAACCAATTGGATTAGGGTGTGATTCCCGAGCATGGTGAAACCGTGGGCAAGTTTTTGTCTCTTGTTACCCAGCAGTAATTGGTAACCTGAGCATTAGTGAGGTGTTGCGGGTAATTTTGAATGTCATTGCTAATTGTCAATAACAGGAAAAGGTAAAGGACTGTAATAATATATAAATATTTTCACATTTTAATCACAAACAAACTTAAAATGAAATATTATGAGTTGCGGGGTGTAAAATTAGTAAATAGTCCGAGCTGATAAATTATAGAAGGTTCCCAAAACGAGGACTTATACTGACTACTATATCACCAGGAAAACAGTTGACTTAATTAACTGCTAACAGAGAGATGTCCCAGACACCCGATACATATAAGGGGCAGAATGTTGAGATCCTTGTCAACGAAGGAAGCACCATGAAAGAACCTGAAAATACAACTAATGACCAAGGAATGATGGAGGCGTCTAGCCAGTCAGACAGTTCAACATGTCCAGTGGTTAGTACTACGACTCGAGAACAATCCTTACCTGAATGTTTGGTCACCATGAAAACCTCCAGCGAGACTTTGACAAATACAACACTTGATGAAAAATCTCTGGATGAAGATGCTGTTTTGATGAAAGAAGAAAGTTTACGAGTTACCCCAGGATCATGTAAGTTCAAGGATGGAGACACTGCAGTTACCCCACGACTCAGTGAGGTGACAAGTGTTAAGACCCCATCAGCTAATAAGGTCAAGGATGAGGTGTCTGTCAGTGCCCGACCACCCAGCAGAGTCATGGTAAAACCTAATAATATTAGAGGTGAGGGTTCTGTCAGCACTCCAAGTAAGGAACAACAACAGAAGCAGCATGAGGGTTCTGTCAGCACCCCAAGTAAAGAACAGCAACAGAAGGAAGATGCTATGGATTCTAAAAGTGTTGGTGTGGCAGAAGGTGGAGGAAGACATTCTCTATCAACTGTTATAAGAGTACATCATGGCGATGGACAAGTCATTACATTTAGGCTGAGGGTAAGTTAATTCGCAGGAGTAAACTAGGAATCATAATTTTCATCAGTATGTTGTGCAGGCTTTTCAGCATATTAAGTAAATATGTAAGATACCTTAGTTAAAACAACAGTATATGTTCAAGGAAATTAGTTATCCAAAACTCAAACGACTGTATTGCATTTCATTTAAATTCTGGCAATGTACACGTTGGTGGAACAAGGATGGCCACTGTCCTTGAAATTGCATGTAATGTAGTGTATTGTACTGCACTGTGCCATTATACACAGTAATGTACTGTATAAACAAGTTGCCCCAAGTTACACCAGGGGCTGTCTTCCTGGAAAAGCCTGGTACAGTACTGCGCTACACGCATAATTAGCATAAAGAAAAGTTCCGTAGGTTTTGTGCTCCAAGTCACAGTCGTCCATACACTATTAAGAGTTTTGTAGTACTGTACAGTGTTGTATTGCACATTTATTAAATACTCTGCATAAGGAGAGGCTGCTGTTACCTGAGTGTAGGTGACTGTGGTCCACCAGTTGCTTCAAGTGACTGAAGTGATATCAGCTTCAAATTATATACTACTGTACTTTACTGTACCTGTACTGTAATTAAAATGTATTTTTTCGCTCCCTGATCCATTGGCTATACTGTACAGTACAGTACAGTATTTCAAAAGTGGGCTAATATTCCGCAGACACCGGCAAATGACCATAAATCATATGTTGGTTGGGTTACGAGCCATAAATCATAAGCCAGTGTTTACAGAATAATTACCCATTAGGTGTACAGAATGACCAGATTAGGTTAGGTTCTTTTAGTTATACGGTACTTTATGAATTTCCCTAAACTTTCACTATCATCACTGTATTCAGTATGAAAACCTGCATTAAAAACAAATAATAATAAATGCTTAAATTGATTTCTGGTGTTTGTGGAATACAGTAATTACTGGTGTTCTGAAGTGGTTTTGGGTGGCATAAACATGATACAGATACAGCATTAGACTGTGTATCATTTAGCTGCTGTCAGGTGATCCATAATACAGTTGTGTGTTGAGGAGGACTAAGGCCTTACAACTTAAAGAAACACACACTAAATTCCATGACTCCTGCCGCCATGCATACCATATGATGTCGTCAGGTGCTTAAGTGGGAGTCGATATATTTACAAAATACTGTTCTGTACTGTGAATTTTTAATCATTGCACATTGCACTCTTAAGGGTTAAATATGATTTGTCTGAGACTTGAAACACAATACAGTAGCTACCTTTCTCTAGGTGTTCTTTAAAGTACTGTACAGTATAGTACTGAACAATGTATGCATGGCATGTACCCATACAGAAGAGTTTTATAACTATTGTTAGCTATCCAATTAAAATATATACAAAAAAGCCTGTACTATAGTACAGTACAGTACTGTACTGTACTTGATATATGTACTATAGTTAAACAGTATTTCCAAATATTTTTACTGTACCTTGACTTTCTTCTTTCCAGGGCGCAAATGCAGGACAAGGCCCTCCCCAATTCTTCGGCCCACCACCTCCTGGTCCTCCTCCCCAGGGCTATGTACCACCTTACCAACCTCCTCCGCAGTATGCCCCTGTCATGTCACCGCCTCTTGCCCAACGTAAGAATCCTCTATCATTTTAAACTTTCTTGCACAAGTGTAGATTAGTGTCTGCTATACCCCTGGGATTATAGTATTTATTGGTGTTGCTTGTAAGGTTGTGGATGCAATCTAAATAACTGTTTTTAAAATTGTATATGCAGTACAGTATTTGCATTACACAGAAAGCCTCAATTTATTGTATATTATTTTTCTTCCAGCATCACCACCACCAATTTACAGCCAGAAGCCTGAACGTCATATGCGTCAATATGACAAACCAAGAACAAAGTATTACCAGCGGCAGCCACACCAGCACCACAACAAGTCTGAGACCAGTAGCCTCCATAGTACTCCACCGCTCTCTCCAAAGAAAGGTACTGAACAGTCATTATTAAAGAGTATTGTTCTAGGACTTAATCATATATTGTATTAAGATAGTGCAATGTTTTAAAGTATTCTGGGAATGTTTTCAGTATTACAGTACTTACAATTTTAAGGATCATTAATGGTTTTCTCATATTTAAGTCAGAAGTACAAGAATGTTTGAATTATTTGTTGAAGACTTTCCCTTTTGGGTTAGCCACCTTGAACTAGAGAAGTGTCTTTACTGCACAGTTCTGTTGTGAGAAAAGCCACAAAATACAACCTGGAAGGAATATGTCCTGACCAGGAAAAGTGTCATTTTCAGTGTGTCATGTTTTATAGAGGTACAGTATTGAATTTAAATTGAATTGAAACAGTTTATTTAGCCAGAAGAACACAGATACAGAGTGGATAATAATAACAATATTAACATGGCTGAGCCAGTTGAGAGCCTGAGTACAGGTATTGAAATGGAAATCTAAATAATTTTAATATCCGGTTACTATACTTGTAATAGTACTTGTGGTAAGTACAGTAATCTGTAATTTTGGACAGTGGTGATTGTTTTTATCAGCAAGGATGTCATCACTTAAAAAACTAAAATTTTGATTTTGTGTTTGAGGATGTCATACACTGTGGTTTATAATACTGTATGTAATGTGTGATTTATTATTAATTTTTATATCACTGATAACATTCAAAGGTGAAAATGACAATAACAAGAGAGTAGGGAGTGTGGAGGGAGGTGAAGGTAGAGGAGGGTGACTTAACCACAAGCTGGTTAGTGAGGGGATGGAAGACAAGAGTAACTGTACAATACAGTAATGTATGAGTGCAGTAGTGTTTATTAATATGAAATTTGAGCATTGGGAAATATACAGTCAAATACTGAACAATAGCATATGATTAAGGAAGTACTGTACAGTACTGTATATTTCCTGAAATATGTGAATAACTCGACACTACCATACTCGTATTTCATCAGAAAGACACACAGGACCCACAACAGGTCTGGGTTGAGAATGTGTCATAAGTTTTTAGTGGAAATTCATTGTAAGAATAGAATCATTAAGTCATTCATCTATCATATTGTATCAGGTACTGTACCATGCTAGGAAGGGCTTAGGAACCTTTTAAGTCATAACTATATATGGCATATATATGTCTATGACTGGCTTAGCCTAGCTACCCATATGTACATTGCTGAACTTTTTTCCTGCCCCATTTTGAAAGTTTAGGTATTCAGTTAAAACATGGCACCAAATGCCAAGCTTTGCTGTACACTTGAGAAGTTGAGATGCTGGTTTGAGTTCCAGATGTGAATGTCGTTCCTTTTCTTGGCTCTCCTTGCCTTATAAGGGACAAAGGTTAAACTGTGGTGGTTACAAGTGTTCCCTGAAGAATGCAGTGATGGGTAGGGAAACACCGTGTAACACTGAAATCCGTTTATTATGGATGAGAGAAATACAAGTGGTGACTCGCGTGTGCCATGCACGGCTCACACAGTCAGACTGAGGCTGCCTTGTCATATGGCAGCCTCGGGGCAATGTTGCCACATAACGTGCAGTGTTGCCACGTGATGATATATATAAATGCTACTCGGCACAGTAGCTTATATACAGGGTTGCTACTCGGAACAGTAGCTTATATACAGGGTTGCTACTCGGAACAGTAGCTTATATACAGGGTTGCTACTCGGCACAGTAGCTTATATACAGGGTTGCTACTCGGCACAGTAGCTTATATACATAACCTACAAACTGCCCACATTTTATTTTTGAAAAGGCAGTTACTGGCTTCGGTACAGTACTTTATGCTTATAATGCCCAACATGGTCACTGATGGAAACAAAATAAGTTGGTCTTAATCACTGACAGACTAAGGCCTCAGTCTTTACTGTGGCAGCTTGCTTGACAACTGTCAGGATTTATGACTTCCATGTGGTTTGAGCTGGAGTAACATGTAACCAAATACTAATGGAAATATATCCTTACAAGACATATTTTGTGTCTTGAACTGTGTAACATAGTACAGTAATCAAATTATTAATTATGTTGATTATAAAGGAGAAAAGAGTCTTTCCTCATTAGGGTAGTGGGAAAAGTGACAGGAATGAAGCAAGACAAGAGGTCTTCAATATGTAGGGAGGCTGACAAGGTACTGGAGAGACTTGTTTTCACTGGGGTTTCATTAATGGTGTGGAGAGTAAGAAGCATACCCGGTAAGTACAAGTCAATGTTTTAAGGTGTGGCAACCTTATGTTAAGTGATAATTTGCCTTATGACCAAAAGTTAGTTAATTTGATGAAATTGAAATACAGGCTGGACCCCACTAATCCCGGACCAGATAGTCCGGCAACTTTGGCGGTTTGGGACGGTGTCATAGCTCACTTCTAGTGGCCGTTGCCACTATTTTACTTTTAAATACCTATAATTTACCACTAGATTTGCCTCCTAAGAGACCAGCAAGCAGTGGAAGTGGTTGTAATGCAGCAAAATGGAAACAAGTGTCATGAACTATTTTAGAAAAGGTGTCTATACTGAAGAAATTAGATACTAATAGCACATTTTATGCATTATTTTGGCTATTTTAACCTCGACTTCGATTGTTCGGAATTTTCGCTAATCCGGAACCGCTCTGGTCCCAAGCTTCCCGGATTAGCGAGGTCCAACCTGTACTTGAACACATATATCCCTTTTAATACAAGCTCCTTTAGGTATTAAAATTGATTGAGAATGTGTAAACATATTAAGGGATTAGCTCTGATATTGTGCACTATAGAAGGATAACATAGACTAGTCATAATAGTACAGTAATGCATTTTAATTTTTTCAGAACCTCTTGTTAGGAAAAATGGTGGAGAGGAAGAAATTCAGACAGAGGATGGAGAGGACCCTAGAAATAGTCTCCAACACCTCCTCTCTCAGGTTAAGCCACCTAAGGTAAGATGAGAGGAAACACAGTAATACTCTTAGGTGATCTGCAGTCACGGGAGGCAGGGGTTTCTGTACAGTATATCTATAAGAGTGTAGGAAATATTTTAGTGATAAAGGGGGAAATCATATCATTGTTGAATGACTTTTTTCTATGACATTATAGGGAAGTTTCAATAGTTATGAAACAGACACTCTCTTTTTTTTTGTAATATTTTCTTCAGTTTGGAATAGTGTATTATGAATTATTAGAGCTTTGAGCACAATACTATACTAGAATTTGAAGTGGTCAAAATATTCTGAAAAGGGCAAAATTCTACATTAGGGAATGATATACACCTGTACAGTATTGATCATCTCTCTCTCTCATTATATACAGTATTGTACATACTTTACTTGTCTCAACAGGTGATTAATGTGATGCCCCATGAAGCTGTTATCCAGTGGCTGGCTCCTGATTTGTGTGGCCTGCATGATGACACCCCAGTCTCTGAACTACTGTATGAGGTCTTCCTAAATAACAACTCGTACATGTCCATCCCTGCCACGCAACTTACAATTAGTGGACTCAAACCTGCTACTGAGTATAGGGTCTAGTAAGTGTCGGAGCATCTCGGTTTTATCGATACTGTACTGCCATAAACTTGTTGTAGAAGAAGTCTTTGACAAAATCTCAGCCAAGTCATCGTCTTAATAGAAATATGCTAGTGAAGCCTGTTGAATAAATTTGAATCTTCCTTGTAACTGACTATATGGGGAAGGTTATTCTGTTATATATTAAACCTTCTAATGTTAGATTGAAGTTCATTATATGGAGGTTTCACTTATATATGTGCAGATAGTATGTTAATTTTGGGTTATAATGTTCAGTTTGAAGTTTTACAAGTAATATTTTAGAATGGAGTTATATGTACAGTACTATATATATTTTTTTTATAGTTTCCAGTGTTTATGTGGTACTGTGCGAGGGGATTCTAGTGGTGTTACAGTTTTCCAAACACACTCTACTGTCCCAGATGCTCCCCAGCTGCCAAAAATGAATCACAGATCAAAAACTTCTCTTCAGTTCAGGTTGGTATTTAAAAGAAACTTCAAGTTTGATGAATCTTTTGTAATATTGTAGTAAAGATCTATGGTTTATGTGATGAGAGTAATGCAGTAAAAGTACGTACAAACAAAGAAGCCCATTGTAGAAAATGCGTAAAACTCCAGAGCCAAATCCCTTGTCCTTTATTTGTCCAGGGGTTGGTGATGGAGTGAATGATTACTTTTGACCATGACTACTCACTTTAATACGGTACAGCCAATATGTGAATTCGTACTTAGATTTTTTCCATTGTAGCATCATAGTGTTATAAATTATCTAGGTTTAGCAAATGATAAAGGCTTTAATTTCAGATGGTTTCCTGTGAAAGAAAATGGATCTCGTGTGACTGCATTTATTCTTGAGTTGTGTGGGAACAGTGGAGAGTGGACAGAAGTCTACAAAGGACGGCAAAAACAACATACTATTGTTAAACTTCAACCACACACACGCTACCGAGCGCGTGTTTCTGCAGTCAATGAACATGGCAAGAGGTGAGGGATGTTAGAGAATCTTAAGGGAATTTACGTTGGCAATGAACACAGTGTAAGGAAATGTGAATAATTGTAAGCCATATTAAAGGAATTATTTTATTTTTATCCCACTGATTGAAAGGGTGGGGGGGGGGAGTGTGGGTGGGTGGGTTTTATCTATAGGTGGCTTTTCATATCGGTAGCCATTGTAATTACACTACTTATCTATAATAGTAAGAATAGGATTTTATTTAATTTTTTTGTGTGGTTATCAGTGTGTTGGTCATTATCTTCCCAGCTATTCATCTGATGAAATATATTATTCAATGTTATGAGACTTAATAGTTGAGAAATTGGTTCATCAGTTTGGGATTAAAATAAATAACTCTTGGTTTAAACTGTTTTTATTGATATCTGTAATTAAGCGTAAACTATAGGAAATTAACTAAGAGTAGTTGGGATTTTACCTCATGGGGTGTAGATATCCCCTTATTCAGTAAGTTCAAATATAATTTCAGGAGTAGGTTTTGGGTGATAATTTTTAAGACAATTTTTTCAATAACATTACTTCTGTGGGAAAAAAATTATTCCATCCTCTAGAAATCTTTCGTGAAATTAAATACCTCTTATTGACGAGGAAAGATATTCTGACGTGCTAGTTATATTTACATAGTAATATTAAAGCAAAATCCTTTCCTTCGTGTCTTCAGCGAGTACAGCCCCGAGTGTGTAGCTTGGACGAATGGTGTGGTGCCCTCCCAACCTGCTCCTCCTGTCTTAGAGCAAGCATCTGTTACATCTCTAAGTCTTGGCTGGATCAAGAGACCCATGGAGGAATTGTACACCTTGCAGATGGAGGACTCGTTAAATAGCTATGGTTTCATTGCGGTTTACAGTGGCCCGGAGACAAGATTTACCTGTCATGACTTAAGGAGAAATGCGGATTATAAGTTTAGAGTAAGTGAAAATGGCCTTTGAAGATGTGCTTTTTTTTTTAAGAAATGGAATGAACTATACTGGGGTTTTGTTTTCCAGTACTGTATATGGTCTTAAGTTGTGCCTTTACTTGAATAACATGACTGACAGGCTTCATACAGGTATACTGTGTATATAATATCCTTTTTCTGATTATAACTTTTCCTATTAGTATAGTATAGTATTTATATTTATACATGTTCGTAGAGAAGAGGAAACGTTCAATTGAAATATATCTTCCTATTAGTTATGTGCCCGGAACGACGAAGGTACATCACCATTCTCGGACATTGTCTGTTACCCGACGCTGCCAGACCGGCCAAAGCCCCCATCCTCCCCGACTGTTAAGGGTCGACCGAAGTCTACCAAGTTGACGCTTACCTGGACTCCACCAGCTGATCATGGGGGTTCTCCCATAACTGTCTATAGAGTAGAAATTGACCGTGGCACTGGTGAGTTTTCTCGATGGTTTTTTTGTGGGTTTTTTGTATGTTGTACGCTACCGAGAAATAAACTAATGGTATTTAATTTTAATGTTTTGGCTGTGCCTTTTGGGATCTTTATGAGTGATTTTCTTTATTCAATTATTATTTTTTGTAAAGTAACTTACTGATCAGTGGTGTCAAACTCGGAACCTCTCGTGGGCCACATTTTAGTTCTATCGGTTGCCTGAGGACCAGGGAGGAAACACTTGGTACTGGTACTCCACATCAAGGGGTGTGTTGTATGGCGCCATATAATCACATTACGAACTTAAGATTTTGTCAGTTAAAATTTGATTATTCTGTTCATAAAACTGTAATCCACACGAACACATTTTATAAGAATGTGAACAAAATATAGGATGTAGAGTAGAATACTGAACAATAAGAAGAAATACTGTACCATAAGTCAAGAGTTGAGCATTAAATTGTACTGTTTCAGCATATTTCTTTCACTAGTTTCTCAAGGTTTGGCTGGATAGGAGACAAGGAATACCCCAGTTATCAAAAGGGATGGATTCCTTAGTGTCTTTGTGAATAACAAGTTTGATGCCCCTGATTTAGATTATACAGTAGGAACTATTGATTTAGATTGTATTAACATTAATGATTTAGATTATAGTGACAACAGTATGTACTGTAATTTGGTTTATTTATTTATATAAATTATATATTTTTTAACAGGATTTGAGTGTATATATTCTGGAGAAAGTGTCGAGACAGAGTGTACAGATTTGAGTCCAGGGATGAGCTACCGTGTTCGACTACTGTGTGAAAGCCCAGGAGGACAGAGTGATTGGAGTGACACTGCCATCGTGACCACTGAGGCCATATGTCCTGGGGTGTGTCAACCTCCTCGGTTATTGGGCAAACCTAAAGCTTCCTTATTACAGCTCAAGTGGGGTATGTATGTGTGGAAGGTATTGTTGAACAAATCAAGGGACTGGTATTTTACTGTACAGGTGTATCTCACTTAATTTAGTACAGTAATGTGTTATAAAAAGTACTAGGTTAGGTGATAAACTATGCTGTAGCCTCCAATGTTATAAATAGAGATTTGTTGTAGGGAAAAATGTTTGACCCTAAACCATCATAAATGAAGATACATTACAACAATAGATAAACATATATTAACATGCAGAGGACAACATAAATACTGTATAATAACAACACTCACCAGACAAACTCTTCATTCTTTTTAATCATTTAGGACAGTAAGTCTGTAATGGAATCAAGAAAGTAACTCGGTGTTTGGGATTCCTCTTCCAATTTACTGCCCTGAATGCTTAAAAAATGGGCGAAAGTCGAGGCAGCATGTTCAGGCTTGGTGATGAAATGTAACGAGTTGGAAAATTTGTGGAAGGGGAAGAGTGAGTGAGTTTCCTAGGCAATGGGGTCGCTGCAGAGCTTTATGCTCTGTTTGTACAGTTGAGAGGAACAGAGTGCTGCAGATCTTTCATAAAATATGTTTTCCAAACTGCATACAGTAATAACAAATCAGGGAAAGCATTATACTTTGTAAATATATTCTCACTTTTATAAACTATCTTATTATGAAAGTACTTTAATTGATGCTTTGGGTTCTGTTTTCATATTAACCTTCAAAATGTCTTATTTAACAGTTACCTTTACATGAAATTTGAACAGAATTTGTGTTTGGACTTTGTGCCGAAATGTAATGTAATATCTCGGATGTCAATTGTGTTACAAAACTAGTGAAATTAAATGGTGAAGTTAGTCTATATCACTAAGAAAATGTATACTGTATAAAGATGATTTAAAGCTTAGGGACACGGCTTGTCTTAGTTAATTTAATAAGACTTGGCTCATTTATGAGAATATTGTCAGCATGATCATTAGAAATAATCATAGAATTCATTTTGGGCTGGCAATTGGAATTTTTTTTGTCAGAACTTACCTTGGCATCAGCTACAAGGCTTGTTCCTTCGGTATCATTGGCAGTAGGATTCTCCCTTCCTTTCCCCTCCAGTTTTTCCCTTGTATCTTTCAACTCGGTTTGACAATGAACACTGAACAAGTACAGTGGTCCCTCGGTTAACGAACACAATCCGTTCCAGCAGGTTGTTCGTTAACCGAAACCATTGTTTCAATGGGTTTTTGGGTAATTGGTTCTAGCTCACCGAAAATTGCCTAAATTCAACAAAAATGGTAGAAAAGTTCACTTACTTTGAGGTGTGTATGTAGAAGGCTCCTGGATGATGATGATGATGATGATGATGATGGGAATTAGAATGGGGGTGGAGGAGAAGGAAGAAGAGAAGGCATTGGGATGGAAGAGAAGTCACCCCATGGCACCATTTCACCCATAAAATTTTAGTTCTCTTGGTGTATTTCAAGATTATTTTCTTTAAATCAACACTGCACTGCATTATATATTGTCAATATGTAAAATATATTTCAAAATGACCAATAATTTGCTTGGAAACACAGAAAAAAAGCGTTTAGTTGAAGAGAGTCTCAAGCAAGATGTTACCTCCAGTGAAAACAGAGAGACTAACGCCTGTTTGCTGTGTTAAGAGGCTGGATGCCGCGCATTAAACTAGTCACTTTACCTTCAATTATGTTCAATAATTGTTAAAATGACTAAAAAATTGAATATTAAACTTTTAAAATTATTGAATAGTATAAACTTCTTGATATTTACTAAAATAGTAAGGAATTTAAGCCCTAGAACCGATTAATGTATTGGCGGACTAATACTAAAGCTGGTTGACCGGCCAGTGCAAGCGAAAACATGTTGAGGTCGGTTCGTAAGAAATTCGTTAACTGAATTTTTGTTCGTTAACCGAATTTAAGAATCTTATGGGAGGCAGTTCGTTAACCGAGGCGTTCGTTAACCGAGGGACCACTGTAATGACTTTAATCTCTCGCCCACCCCATGCACGTGACCAGGTAATTCTCTCTTCTCTTCTCTTCTCCATCTCTAAACAAGATAATGACATACAGTAGATGAATGAGAAATATAATCCTCTACACTTGCCTTATTTCATGCCAAAGTGTTCAGCCTAGCTTCTGTCACCACCCATAAGTTGCAAATTACACACAAACACAATCAGCGCTCTGTTGGTACAATATTGTACCACTTTAACATTATACAGTAGTTCTCAAACTCTGTTGGCTTCCCTGATGGCTTATACATTAGAGTACTCCCTCGAAAAGGCAGCTTCACATTCCAACTTTACTTTAAATATTCTTCGCTTTTTCCTGACCAGAATAATGTTGTAGCAGGTGGTTTCTTTTAGTACGTATTCCTGTTGAAGCACTTGTGATCTTACTCCATACCTGCCCAGTTGCATCTAGTACTTTAAGGATTATTTTATCGAGAGAGAGAGAGAGAGAGGCTCAGGTACACGTGTTGAACTGCCTATAGCATCACTACCAAGAGCCAGGTGTTAGACCATTTTATAAAGAGCCATGAAACCACAAAAATAGTTAATATAAATGTGGCTGGGCTCAAATGACACCTGGGCAGTGTGTTGATAGAACTAACACTCCAGTGAGAAGTTGCCACATGGGCTGCTGTAATTTGTGCCGTGCATTTAAGATTCTGTACTATTTTACCGAGTGCTGTGAATAGTAATGTATACTAATTGCTTATTCGGCAAAGAAAAAATAATCGGCTCGCCATATTTAATTGCTCATAATTAATGTGTGTTCTTATTAACATAACAGGTCATCCGGAATATGATGGTGGAGCGCCTGTGACCGAGTTCCGCATTGACATGATGTCTCCAGACAACGACAGAAGACAGGTGTACTGTGGACGAGATCTTGAATGCACTGTTGCTAGGTAAGTAACTTATTCTAAGTTCAAAAGAAAAACGGTATTCCTGGATCTCCATAAACACTGTTGTAAGCTGTCTCCTACTGTACTGTAAAGTGGCTGGAACCAAGAGCAAACAATAACTCTTCATTAACTGTCATTCATACTGCTGTAACAGATGTGTTCTGATATATTTTCCTACCTCAACAATACAGTGTGTTACCCGTTACATTAATCCCTCGCCAACCACAGGTTTACAGACTGCAGTACAGTAGTGAACACAGTTTCCACATTTTATATTTTGTACACAGTTTTACCAACCATGGTATCCAGTTTGGATAATACTTATGTTTTTCTGACTAAATATACTTGTTTTAGTATCAATTTATAAAAATAAACTTGCTGTTATTAGATTTAGAAGATCGGAAGACAAAAATGGTTGTGTTAAGAACAAGTAGACTTTGTATCATAACTGATGTTCTGTTTTATCTAAAAATGGCCAATTAGTTCTTGAAGCAGGAAATACTACTGTTGTCTTTAAGGCTACTAAGCTTAAGATGGTGTTTAAGCTGATGGTACTTAGAAAAACTGTGTTTGTGTTTTAACATGTTCGACATCATCCCAGTCATAAGATAAGAGGCCTGGGTGGGTCAATAGTGCTTGTTAACCAGTCTTCTCGAGTAGAATTTTTTCTTCCAGTTTGTCTTGTTATTTATTTACTAAAGTTGTGAAATGCTGACATACATTTCACTCTGACAGCCTTTTACCTGGTCGACCGTATATCTTCCTGGTGAGAGGTGTAAACCGCATGGGTCCAGGGCCGTGGTCTGAACCTCTGGAGGTGGTGAGTGGCGCTGGGCCTCCCGATGCTCCACACGCACCTCATCTAGCTTGTCGCAGCCCTTATTCTGTGCACTTGGCATGGGAAGAACCTATAAACAATGGAGCTGGGATTGATCAGTATAATGTACAGATTGCAGAGGTAAGGATCAATAGTTTTGTAACCATTGATAGTGTAGAGCCCGCCTGGTTTGAAATATTACAGTAGGGTATCATAATATTTCATTTGCCAATAAGTAGGGTATGCTTTGTAAATATCAAATAGGGTCAATGTGGTTAGTGGTTTTGTGAGCAGTGTTAGTTCACTAGTTTCAGAACGGTTAGAACATCGATTACAGATATTGGTATACACCATTATCTACTTTGTGGATCAAGGTATCCTGTAACAATATCGTGCAGAGAACTGCTAGAATTTCAAATTTGTCAGTAATATAAGTTTTATTTCTGCAGATATTTCATAAATAAATTTGTTTTGTATATTTTAATACTCCTTCCGATATGGGGAGCAGGCATGCCTATGTATCACACTTCACTGGCAAATGTATCGAAGCATTTTGTCTAGCATTTCAAATTGTAAAGACAGGAATAGCAACATTACTTCTTGGGGGACTACTTTGATTAGGCATTTTTATATAAACTACTTTATAGTTAAGTGTGTTAGATCAGTAGCTGAAATGTACTGTACAGTATTTAGTTGCTGGATATCCCTTGGTGTGGAAATAGAAATAGAATAATGTTCTTTTCTCTTATAGGTATCTTGCCCCCATGCCGAGTCCTCGGAGTCATCTTCAACTTGTGGTGACATGGAGTCTGAACTGACTTTCAACAGTGCATACACTGGGTCCTCCACTACTACTGAAGTGCGTAACTTGGCTCCTGCTACAACCTATGCTTTCAGGTGAGCTGGCTCTTGGGTTACTACAGGAGTGTCCTTCATATATATTATACTAATTAACTCTTTAATGTTTGCCTACTTTAATCATCTGCTGTGATGGTGTAATTTAGGTTTATCTTCTTTCTCATTTGTGCTTTTGTATATTAATTATAATTTTCAACTTTTCCTTTTGAATTATGTTCTAATTCTGTGTTAATCTTCACTGTTATTGTGTCATATCAAACTTGTCTCGTTCACAATACGAGAAATGTAGTTACAGTACTCTAATATGGACAGTGACATAACCTATATAATATAACGTGATCATTTCTGTTAATCTGTTCAGTATCTGTTGGTCTGACCTTGAAAGAATTTGCTGTATGTTCTTTAAGTTTTGGGACAAACACCATTGATAAACATAAAATTTTAGGTGATTGCATTTAATGGTGGTGGGGGGTACTTGTAACTCATGCAGTTGGAGGATTTTTTAGTTTTCCCTCCTTTTTTGCTAGCAGGCTTCAGTTTCAGGAGTCACTTAGTGGAGGGCATAAAATGAGAAGTGAAGGATTGATACTGTTATCCCAGTTTGTGGCAGAGCCCTTAACTTTTGTCTCCTCCCAGTGGATAACATGCAAGTTAGGTGGAACTGAATAAGATTAACATCTGAAATTTCATTATGGCCAGTATGATGTTGTAATGTCATGCCTTCTGTTTTAAGTGTTGACTTTGCTTCTAAAGTAGCTTTATCAGGGATTCATAAAATATTTCCCACCACAAAGATGAAATGAGGTCCTGATTTCAACCCATTGACTTACTGCACTTTATGCATACATCATGTTTATGGGCTTGGCCTTAAATTGACTTTTCAAGATCAGTCTCCCATTTCTTTTTCTCGAAGCCAAGTTTTCCCCGAATGTCATTGCTATCCCAGTGGTGTCAGTCAAGTCTAACGCTGAAAAATCTAGTTTAATAAGACCACATTTTGATCTGATCATTTGTTTTGGCTTCTTGGACATTCCTACAAAATATTTTTTATCCCTTCAAATATAACTTTAGTTTATATAACATCACTCTTTGCTTTCTGCATACTGCACTGTACTTGCATAAGTGTTCAAGTATTAATGTGCATCAATTGAAGTTTAATTCCCTTCATTAATCAGTAACACACTATTTGGTTTTGTTGCCTCTTGTAGAGTGTGTTGCAGTAACAGTGCAGGAGTTGGTCCTTGGTCCTCACATGCAACAGTGACGACCCCTGCTGCCCCCCCTGCACCAGTTGCCTACATCTCCTCCTCCCCAGCTGCCACAGCTGTTACATTGCTGTGGGGAGAGCCTGCCAACCATGGTGACCCCATTACTCACTATGTAATAGAAGTGGGCGATAGGACAGTCACCACGCCAGGACCAGAGACGGAGTATACACTCAACGATCTTCAGCCTGAAACCTTGTATAGGTAATATAACTTTATGGGGATTTTCACTTTTATGTATAATGTATCCGTCACTGTAAACGTACTCCATAAACATGAGTGCAGCATGACCTTCAAACACATTTACTTGTTTGATTACTCTGTTTAGAAATTATCATAATCTTAAACCCCCTTTTCTGGCTCTCTTTTTAGAATACGAATCCAAGCCACGAACAGTGTAGGTCCTGGAGGATTCAGTGGAATTCACAAAATAACAACGAGACCGCTGCCTCCTGCCCCGCCCACCCTAGAGCTCGTCAAAGCTTCCTACAATTCCCTCAAGCTCAAGTGGGGTGATGGACGTAACTTGGACATGTTGACGTATTCTCTTCAGATGGAATTCACTAATCCTCACAACGGTACCAGAGAGTAAGTTGAACTTATTTTGATTGTTCTCGATACGAAGTCATTCTTTTATTCGAGAACCCTAAATGATTACTCTATTTTAGGACAGGCAATAAACTGGAACCTAAAATTCAGTAGAAATAGTCTGATCATATCATTGGGAAGAACATAAATGCTCTTCACATTCATCGTGCTGAAAGTCATGTTTTGATAGATGGTAGATACAGCATGTGATGATTTCTAACTGCATGACTCAATGTAACTAGACAGAATAAGTGAACAAGTTTTAAGATACTGGGGATGTAGACTTAATTTATTGTGAAAAACTTTGAGAAGAGAGATGGAGGTATCGTTGATTTGTAAATTTTTATTGAGGGGGGGGGAATTGTATAGTATTGGAGGTAAGAATGAACTTACCGGGTACTCTTACCTGATAGTCATTTAACTGTGTTTACAGTCTATATTCATGCTGTCAGGGTATACAGGAATGTTTTATATGACATACTCCAGAAATTTCCCTTGTAATTTGCAGTTTAAGTACAATTGAAGTTAACAAGATTACAGAGAGTTCTATCTCATAATTTTTTAGTGTTGTTGGACTAGTGCATTATGAACTTACTTACCTGCTTGAAGACCTTCATTGTTGAAGCACAGTAATAATATAACAACAACAACAATGAGATTGGTTGATTTAATATTAAGATGTTTATTGTAATATTTAAGGAACTCTTTATCTTTGACAGGTTCTATCAGGTGTATAGTGGCACAAATCAGAACTACAAGGTGGTGAGGCTAGAGGAGAACACTGCATACCATCTTCGTATCTGTGCCAGCAACGAGGCGGGTGTTGGACCTTATTCTGCTGTGGCTCATCTCTCAACTACTAAGGCCCCTCCTCCTCCTCTTAAAGGTAATAATTGGAAAAAACTAAAAGAACCTTACTGGAGTCAGTCAGTTTTCTCATAATCTAAACATCCTGTTAACCCCTCGTGTATGGGGCCTTCTCTCTGCATTAGCCAAATGAAATATTAAATGTGGTGTCTTTGTAGTGAAGGAATTACCGGTAGATTAGAGTTTACAGCTTTAGTTTTGTAATAAAGTTTTCAAATACCGTACTACATATTTAATCAGTTCACTATTTGCTTGGTTATATCTCTTGGGTAAGAACGTGTAACTGCAGTTGCTAATAAAGTCATCATCATTTTACAACCAATTTCCTTTCTTGTTTGATGGCAGCTCTCTCTGTTCTGTGGTCTCTTGTATCTTCTCTTGTTGGGTTGTTCTCTCTGAGGTTATTTCTTACAGCCTCTCCTTTTGCCATGCCTACCCTTAACTCTCCTCCCCTCCATATTCAAACTCGTTCATCTCTTGATCCAGTTTGTCTCTCCATATGCCTGAACCATCTTGGCCTACCTCCATGTAAAACCTCAGTACTGTGCTCTCAATCCCTAGCTGCCCTCTTACCTCTCCCCATTCAACCAGACTACTCTACCTTTATAACCTGTGCATCTGCTCTTGTACCTTCAACCATGGTGTCCTTAATCTTCTTATACTGTACACTTGTTAACTGTTAAGGGCTAAACTATGCCCACACTACCTAAATACACATTCATCTGTTAGCTTTCTTGGGATTTTTACATGTCAAGACATTGCAGTACTCCTTACACTTTGATCCTTTGTCCTGTCAGTCCTTCAGGCTCCGATGTTATTATGCAGTATAAATAGGGAATCTTTTATACTGATGTAATCTTATTTTATTTTTAACACCGTGCACAATGAGGCAAATGGGCATAAAAAATGAGTAATGTTTTGAAGGTGGTAATAAAAACTTGACCTTAGAATGTTGATACGAAAGATTGTACTTAATGTATCTATTGCCATCCCTTTCAAGTCTTCCTCCCTCTTGTTTCAGTCACCAGTGGAAACAAAGGCAGGTAGATAGGTAGCAGCAACTTACATTATAACACCGCATACTATGTACCCCTATTATATAAAGCAGACACGTTGCAATATTCAGGAGTGGATTATTATTAATGTTAGATTTGAATAACTATGCCCACTAACTATGAGGAGCTTCTGGTTGTCTGCAGAAAGAAAGAATACACTGAGAGAGTGCAAAGGCCAGGAGATGCAGAGTTATCAGTAAACATGAGAGAAGGAAGTCTTCATATGCCCCTAAAATGGCCTGTGGTATCTTGGTTTTATATCCATATCTTTGCTATTATTTTCTTTATGGAAGTTTAAAGTTGTTAATTTGTGCAACACACACAGATTGTAAGCATTCTTTTCATTAGCTCCTCGTGTGACGGAAAGTCCAGAAGGAAGCCACGTTGTTGAATGGTGCAGTGCGCGTTGTCCAGGTGAAGATTCCATTGTATATCGTCTTCAGGTGCTACAAGCTGGCAAGGATCAGGACTACTCTCTGGTATGTGTTTAGCTTTAGGAAATTTTGATGTTCTTGATATATAATGTGTGGTTTTTATATTGTAATAATATTTGTATTTATTTATTTTTTATATGTTAGGTTCTGGAGCTTCATGATAGTCATTCATGCTCGAGATTTCTAAACAGATAAATGGAAAAAACTAGTTTGTTGAAGATCAATGTTTGTACCAATTTGTTTAACCTTTTGCCTATTACCAGATACAGTACTTGTGGTCTAGGATGTAATAGCTAGTTCTGTCATCACATGACCATTTATTTATTTACTACAACACTAAAACTAAAAGTACAGGGGAGAAATCTACTCACTCAGCACTCACTCACAGCACCTAGTTGGCAATGACATTTTATATTAAAAAAAAAAAGTTTTACAACTGATAGGGTTACTGTTGTGTCTGGGTGCAGTGATATATTAGTGAGTAATATAAAGAGGCTCCCATGTGTGTCTGCACAGTACTGCATGTGTGATTTTTTGGGGGGTCAAGTTATTTAGGGAATTTAAGTGTTAGATATTTTACTTATGGTTTGTATAATGTGAGTATTATTTTCAGGTGTACACTGGAAGTGAAACCTCATATGCACTGACAGGTCTGGAGCCTCACACAGGGTACTATGTTCGTGTTTGTGGGGTTCGAGTCTGTGGAGATGGAGAGACGATGGCTGGTGCTTATTCTTCCCCAGCACTCTTCAACACCCCAAAGCCAGCTCCAGTAACTACTACTAAGACCTCTGCAAACACCACCCAGGTAAGTGTTTTCATTTCACTAACCACGGCATTGAATTTCAAATATATCCGTGGATTAGCGTGGCGTCTTTATCCCTTGCATCTTTATCCCATTAATGTGAGGAAAGAATAAAAATAATACTAAAATAAAAAAATAAAAAATACTGCATTGCCATTTGGTAATTGTTTCACTAACGACATGGGAGACAAGAGTGCCCTCCCTCTCTCACAATTGTGGGCCAACTCCCAGGGGTGTAAGATATGCTTATTCTCTGTTTTTGACCTTGTAATAAATATACTGTACTGTATATGAAGGGAATAACTTTACCCATGTGTTAAGAAGAGGTGGGAGTGAGGCTGTTCTGAGCTGTGTAATGAAGCTACTATATTTGTAGGATAAATTTCATTGCCCAGCAGCCAAATGGGAATAAACTATTAATTTTTGTTTTAACTTATTAATGGTATTATATTTATTTATTCTTCATATTTACTGATACCGTACAGTACAGTATATATTATTTTAAGAAAAGTATGACTACAGGAGGAAAATGCACATAGATTTTTTCCTAAATATTCTCTGCTGTAATGGAGTGTTTCTTGTATGTCATAAAATGCAGTATTGTACCTCTGATTTTATACTTGGGCATATTAGCTATCCCTGTACTAGCTCTGCTTATCCTAGGCTACCCCTTTCTCATTTGTACTCCTCATTCAGCAGTTCAGTTTAGTGTTTATTCAAAGCAAACTTGATTTCCTCATCAACAACCACTGTTTGTTTTATTATTTGCAATATCAAACAAACATTGCAGGTGAGTCTACTAGGTTATGGGCTAGCTTCATGATGTGTTTACATTGCTGAGTGGAGCAGCGCTGACAGTGTTTTTCTAAATTCCAAACTCCATCAGAGCAAATTGTGGACATATTTTATAAATATGTTCGTAATTTGCCAAATATCAACAGTGGGGCCATCAAGTGGATTTAGAAGTGTTGGTAGCCCTGCCCGGTTCATCGGGATTCTGACCCATCATATTGCCTGAAGCAGGTATTTAATGACCTCGTCCCACTCAAGGGAATGGTACAGTCAGTCAAAGATGCACTGACCCCACCCTGGGTTTCGTGCTCGCCATTTTACCTGGCAATACTTGGTAAAGGAAGGCTGTATGTAAAGGTGATTGTGATTGGTGGATTGTTTTTGGCTGTATCACTGTCAGGATAAATATTAAGTAAACTATTCAGTGTTATTTAAGGTCATGAGACATTTCCATATTTTCGTATACGTGCTTAAATAATTAAGAAAATTATATTAATGAGTTGGCAACTCGACTACAACCACAGCTGCCACAAGATTCTCATATCAAATTTTCTTCATTATGTAAACAAACTTATGACCATTTGGAAACTTCTCATGATCTTAAATAACAATGAATAGTTTATTATTATACAAATGTTACCTTTGGTTTGTTTAATATTTATCTTGACAGTGATACAGCTGAAAACAGATCCACCAATCACAATCACCTTTACGTACAGCCTTCCTTTACCAAGTATTGCCAGGCAAACTTGCGAGCACGAGACCTAGGGTGGGGTCGGTGCATCTTTGGCTGACTGTACCTGATAACTGGGCTCACCATTGGACATGACAGCTGTGAATACGGTACATAGTTAGGACTCGTGTAGTGGCATTTATTTTATGTAGCATCGCCCATCAGCAACAGGCCATTTCCTGCATTGTTGCTGGGTGGTCACAACCAAGGAAAGTGATTGCTAAATTATGTGTTGCTTTCAGGAGGTGGGACTGCAGTGGCACAATCTCAGTGATCAACAAAAGGCTGCTGCCATCTTGGTTGTTTTTTCTCTTTTCTGTGCCATTGCTGCCATCGGCCTGCATCACTTCTTGGCCCCTGACCCTGCACGGTAACCCAGCGATAAGATATAATTTCAGGTTTTTATTTTTATGAGGAAAACTACCCAGATTTATACTGCAATGATCCCAAGAGCCTAGGACCCACAATTGTAGCCTAAGGCACAGGTGTGGTTGGTGCACAGTGAACGAGTTTAATGCAAGACACAGCAGCCGCTCCTGTACCTCTCACTGTAGTCTGTAAAGGTTAGCTGGAAACCTGACAAATAACCAATGTTAAAGCAGCCTCTGGACTTGTGGTTTTGTACAAGCAGTCTCTGTATTTTTCCCAAGTGAGTGTGAAATGGTACATTGCATTCAGATTGTAATTTTACAGACATTTAAAGGTATATCATATGCTTTTACAGATGGTCTTTTTATACAAATATATTCTTTTCCCTTTCTAATGTGTATTCTCTGGAAAAGATTTTAGTACCAAAGTAGTTGAGAGATTAATATGTATTAAAGCAGTCAAATCATACAACTTATCTGGTATGAGTGCTTTAGTAACTCCTTGAGAAATTTAATAAGGCTGTGTGTGCACAATATAAATTACTGTTGTTGCTGTATGTACCATTTTACTCTCACTCAATACAATAAGGTGCTGAGTTATTTTGTGCAGTTGCAAAACCCTGCTTCCCAAAGTGTATTTTTAGCAAACTACATTTGCTTGATATTCTGTGCTGCCTGATGTGTTGTTTATGATGTTGTGAAAATTAGTTTTATATAGTAGACCTGATTTATAAAATTTACCTTAGTAAAAAAAAAAAGTTATATTTTCTCTGCAGTTGTCCCAGGTAAATCATCACACATTCCGTGAACTGAAATCTCCACATTTAGATGTTCATTTCTAGTTTAAGTTTTAAGTTACCCACACATTGTAATAATGGACCAAAATAGCTGCCACTGATAGTATTTGTATACCCCCATACGTACTTAGGATGGAACTGATATCCCTTGTAAACAGTTAAAGCATGGCACCTGGGTTCAGTTGATTGTTTGTGTTGTTTCCACTGCCTCTGGATGCTAAATGTTGCAACACTGGTGCTCAATAGTGGTTGGTGTGCTGTCCCTGTGCTCAAGTGGAAAGTTCACTCACAGGTCGCATCTGGTTCAGCAGCATAGCTGCTTGTTCAGCCATGTTAGATATCACAGTATTTTTCCGTGTGCTTTATTCCTGTCGGTGCAATAAGTGGTGGATACTTCTATGTCAACAGTATTTAGCTCCAGGGCATTATTTTCCATAAAGGATGAAAAGGGAAGCTTGGATGCTGTTTAAAGCAGATTCACTGATGCAACAAGCCACATTTGTCTCAACAGGATAGCTATGAGACAAAGTGCTTTCCCACTTCCCATTTAGAATTTTCTCGCACATTATTTAAAACGAATGGAAGTGGAGGGTTGGGTTAACAATATTGCTCTCTGGTTTATTGGTTTTTGCCTGCCATAGGGAAGCAGGGCATCATCTCTTCTTCATAGCTCCTTGGGTCTTAGGCCCAGACTCTCCAAAAGCACTGACATGAATCTAACCAGTCATATCCTCTGTAATGATACAAGAGCCAATCGAGCTTTTTCCTTATTGAAGGATTTAGGCTAGTTAAAATAACTGGTTGTTAATGGAAGTTACAGTTACATGGTACTAAGCATCCAAGAAAGGTTGCAAGAAACCAGCATTAACCTCATGGATGTGGTGTTGATGTGTCCAGGCAGATCTAAATGGTTATACCAGACTGTGATGTCGTCCCAAGTTGGAGAGTTCGTACATGAACTTTCTTGCTTCATTTCCTATTGGGAGTGCAACTTAGATGGGGAGAATAGTGTCCAAACCATATTTTGTAAGTTGGTATCCCTATATATATATATATATATATATATATATATATATATATATATATATATATATATATATATATATATATATATATATATATATATATATATATATATATATATATATATATATATATATATATATATATATATATATATATATATATATATATATATATATATATATATATATATATATATATATATATATATATATATATATATATATATATCTCAAATTATTCAGTAAATCATAAAATTAAGAATAAAAATTATTTTATATGAATCAAAGTATGATATTGTATGTATTGCTATTCTGTAACTGGTATTGGTAGCTTGCTTTCTGATTTGATGCGGTGTTTGTATTACAGAATTCCTTCATACATAGTGTTTGAATGTTATAACCATTGCACAATTTTATGGTAAACCTCCAAAGATGTATTTAGGATTTATACTTATGACATGCAGATAAGGGGTTTTCAAAACTGATTTTGGACAAATTAATTGCTAAAATGTATTTGGTTCTTTGGAACCTCCTGTCTTTAGCAAAAAGGAAGTTAATCATGATTCTTTCCATGTGATTGATTGGAAAAGTTGTTGACATGAGTCATCCCAAAGTGAAAGTGGCTAATTAGGGGGGAAATGATTATAGTATGTACAGTATTATAAAAAATGAATAAAATAACACTCGGCATCACAGATTAATTATTTGCAAAAATATGGATGCAAGAGACTCAGTATCCACAAACATCAGAGAGAGAGAGAGAGAGAGAGAGAGAGAGAGAGAGAAAAAGAATAATTGATAAATACTGGGCATCATTCTTGCTGTGATATTTACAAGGTGTTTGGAAGCCATTATTGATTTACTGACAAAATACTAAAATTTGCATATGTCTGGGATAAAGGTTGCTGCTCACTTTGGGATGGACAAGTCAGTTAAAGACTAAATTGAAATTAGTCTAATTGTACTGTTCCACTTGTGAGTTGGACTGTCATCTTTCTTGGTCAGCCACATTTTCTTGGATTTGTGGTTGGTGGGGAGTCTGTGCCAGAATGGAGTCGTAAATGCTGCCAATTATTTAGGTTGTCAGATATTGTAATTACTGTAGTACACAACCTTGACGATGGAGACACAGGGGAAGATGATGGTCCAATTGCTGGTTAGGTAGAGGTAGTCTTGCACCTTGTTGCCGTTTTGTTCACTTTAGTTCATTGTTTTGGCCCTCAAGTATATTTTTGGATATGTGACAATTAGTATTCTAAGACTTTGTGTACCATAGCCTTGTGTAAGTATATCATAAAAATATTCTTTATACATAATAGTACTATAAGTAAAAATGTATACTCTCATATTGCCTGCAGATATGAATTATATTCTATATATTATATTTTGTTTTAATGTTTCCATAGCTTTAGCATTCATCAAATGAAAGTGCATTTATGTAAGATACTGTGACGTGTGCATCAGTCTAGCAGTGACTGTGGTTGGAACATGAAAGACACCATGACAACTTCCTACCACTTTACTCCCAGGCAGGTGATATGTATTTATGGAGGACTACACTCATTAGTAGAAACTTGGTGCCAAGTTACTTGAGGATCCAGAGAGTTTTCTAAAGTGTGGTTTCACCTGCCATAGCCTCTGTTCTACCATCACTTTGCCATTCCAAAATAAACTATGAGGAAAGGAAATTTTCTTTCTCATCTTCCTTCCTGCAAGCTGTCACTGAAATGGAAAATTAGGAATAATAAAAATCTTTGTTTCTGAGTTTATGTATTGTGTAAAATGAGTGAGGAAGGGCTGGGGTCTACCTTTATCACAGACACGACTAATCTTCTATCCACATTACCCCAGCCTACCGCACTATGCTCCATAGTAATCGTAAAATAACCGATAAATGTACATATATAATCTTCCTCCAATATGACAAACATTATTAAGAGCCGGCACTGCCTGCACTAACTAGTAATTGTGACAAGATTCCATAAAATGAACCCTCACAGGGTCATCAGTAAATTTCCTATGTGGAACATGGGAAATGAACCCTTGAGAAATTTTTCAAGACTCCTACATTATTCATCACAAATACTGAAGCAAAAGTGCACATTCCTGTGAGTATGCAGTAGTGACCACACTCATTACCCCACACTTTACATATGTACAAGGGGACAGCCAAAACTAAGTGTATGGAAATGTGCCTACCAGGGCTGGATTTACCTACCGTATATCTCGGCCTACAAGGCGACGGGCTGTATGAGACGACGCCAAAAATGTCCATTTAAAAAGTAGCTTTTGAGCCCAATTCGCTGTATAAGACCGGTACTCCAAATGTGACACTTAACCATTGGGAGCTTACTGACCCAGTAGTCCTTTACCAACCATCCCATTGACCAGTGCTGTTTACACATCCATGGTTTTTTAAAATAAGGCCAATTCACTTCAAGTAATGGCATCAAATGTTACCGGTTGGTGTAGTGTAAACACTAGTGACTCACTTAAACGTCTGTTATTTAACTGGAACTAATGTCGGTGTCGAATACAATTGTTTCATATACTTGAAATGGATTTACCGATTTATTTGTTTATTTATTTATTTATAACATACTGTAATATATTAAACAGACTGCAAGTATTTTCTTTAATTTATAAGCTTGCTTCACGAGAGACAATTGGTGGTGGGACTGTTCCGACTGTTTACACCAGCTACAGTATTCTAATTCAATAGTGTTTCATTAGGATTTAAGTGAAAAAGATTACTGTACATACTTAATACATACATTTATTACACAAATATGTATATATCACAATATTTTATAATTGCAGTCATGTACTGAATGTTCTATGTAAAAAAATATAGATTTAAAATGAATTATTTATAGTGTGGTCGACTTCCTACACAAAGACGGGCTATAAATAGCCGTCTTATCTCCCCTCCCCCTCCATCCCTCTGTTCTCAGAGAGAAGGTCTTGGTAAATAACTTTTGTTTGTTTATTTTCATTGTTTGTCTAATTTATCATGTTGTATCAAAGTAATATTACTAAAAATTTTAGGCAGCTACCAAACAGGGAGATACTACCGCCTGGGAAGATATTGGAAGCATAATGTACAGTATTGTCTAATGGTAGATCCTACTTCCATATGGCATCACAAAAATTGTGACCAAGTCTTAGGTTGCTGATCTATCTTTCTGCCTCATTTACACACAATTGCAGAGTTTCAATTGTTTCTCTTCCTTTGACAACACAACATACATACAATATAATGTTTCTCACCTTTGATCTTTTTTCCATTTATTTATGGTTGGTTATTTAAAATAATGCCAATTCACTTCAAGTATTGGCATCAAATTTTACCGGCTGGTGTACACTAGTGACTCACTTAAGCGGCAGTTATTTAATTGGAACTAATGTTGGTGTGAGTAAAATATTTCCATTTACTTGAAATAGATTTGCCGATTTATTTGTTTATTTATTTATTTATAATATACTGTAATACATTAAACACACTGCAAGTATTTTCTTTAATTTATATACTTGTTTCGCGAAAAAGGGAGTCTACCATTATAACTGGTAGGTGATCATTAAGGACCAAACTCCGAATCCATGACGTGACTTCTGTTCATCATTTATATCCTAAATTTGCCACTGTCGGTAGTTTCAAGAATTAACGCAGTCATTTACTGAATATTCTTTGTAAAAAAATAAATTTTAAATTAATTATTTATAGGAGATAAGTATTATGATCAGTAAATATACAGATATGCATTACTGACCACCTCCGAACACAAAGACGGTCACAGTCAAAATTCACTTTTCTTGTCACTTTGGCAAATGGAGATGAAATGTATATATATATACATACATATATATATATATATATATATATATATATATATATATATATATATATATATATATATATATATATATATATATATATATATATATATATATATATATATATATATATATATATATATATATATGCAGTAAGTATCTATAGCGAGCGGATCACCTCACGAATATTCCTATAGCGAGCGGTTTTACCTATAAAATTGAGAATGCAATAACGAGCAGAAACTCCTCTGCATGAGAACATAATTTAATTTTTTTCCTAATTTATTGTTTTATTATTGCAAATATTAATGATATTCTTTTATTTTCAGAGTTTTAGATGCATATTTATGCACTTTTACAATTTTACAATTTTTATATTATATTTTTCAGTGTTAAGTGGTTGTATTTGGGGGCCTAGAGCGAGTTAATCCTATAACAAACGAATACTATAACGAACAGGTTCTAGAACCAATTAGATTCGTTATAGCATACTAATATATATATATATATATATATATATATATATATATATATATATATATATATATATATATATATATATATATATATATATATATATATATATATATATATATATATATATATATATATATATATATATATATATATATATATATATATATATATATATATATATATATATATATATATATCATGTAAATCACAACAAAAACGTGGATAGATAAATCTTGATAAAATCACAGGAAAATGGAAACAACGCCCAGTACCTTAGCTTTAAGTCTTTATTCAAGACATCTTCAGTTGCCTCTGGGGATTGTCTTGAATAAAGCAACAAATCCATTATTTCCATTCCGTGTGACCTATCCTTCTGATTGGTCCTCATATTACGCGGTCCCGCATTCCGCGTTTCACCGTTAACGCGGTGCCTTGCCAGAACCTAACATTTTCACATTCCGCGGTCGTGAACCCTATTACGCGGAGAGCGGCTGGCAAGCCGCGCCATTTTTGGATCCAAACCTCCCGCCATCCGCCATGTTGTGTAAGAGGCGCGAAAATGGTGCGCGCAAGGTCGCCCAGTCATCAAAACATTACCGAGTTCTTCACCCGCCACCCACTACAGCCGGCCCAAGTCAGTGATAGTGATAATTATAGTGAGGATATGGACTTATATGAACTTTGGGGGGTTTGACAAAGAGGCCCTGCAAGCCTCTGTGGTGGATAGTGATACAATTGATACAAGTGATACAGGTGAGGGCCAATAATCTGCCCTCTGCCTCGGAACCAACCGCCCATCCCCGTGTGCCCAGCCATCTTTTCTACTAATGTAAGTGTTAAAAAACCTAATATTATTGATATTTCTCTTAATTATTAATTGTGTGTGCATGCCATCATAAAGTTAAGATAATATTTTTACTACAACATAGTTGTGTGTCGTCAAAAAGTGGAGTTTGGGGATCGGCCCGGACTCCATTTCAATTAATCCCATATGTTATGTTATTCACTTTACGCGTTTCTCACTTTCCGCGGTACCCTCCGGGTTACATTAACCGCGTAATATGAGGACCAACTGTATATATATATATATATATATATATATATATATATATATATATATATATATATATATATATATATATATATATATATATATATATATATATATATATAATGCAAGTAAATCACTGTAGGTGCGCGTGATCTAGGTATATGCTGATAACCACAAGGAAAGAAGAAAACACGAAGTTCCCAAGCGCTTTCGTGTAATTCACATCTTCAGGGGTGAGTACAGACTAGAGAGAGTAATACAAATCAAGGTGTATATATACAGAGGAAGGGTGAGACCAGGTCCACAATGGTCAGGTATTAGGTAATGACCTTACTAATCTTTAAATAGCACACAACGGTTGGTGGTCAGGTCAGATGGTCAAGTGACCCGGCCTTCTCACCTGATCACAAATCTTCTTAATTACAAAATTGTCCAGCTTGTACATGCCGTTACTCAAATTCATGTTGGATGCTTCGGTATGTTTAATAAGACTAGATTCTATGATGTTCCTACTATCAATTGAATTACATGGTAATATTGAGGAGGCATTATCCCAGTCAATGCAATGCTTGTTATCCCTCAAATGAACAAACAGAGCATTGGATTCCTGGCCTGTCCTAACACTGTATTTGTGTTGTTTAATTCTAGTTGCAAGATCTTTACCTGTCTGGCCTAAGTAAAACATATTACATTCCTTGCAAGGAACTTTATAAATGCAACCAATTGTGTTGTTGGGGGAGTTCTTGATTAACATTTGTTTAACAGTGCATGAGTTTTTAAATGCCACATTGACGTTCCAGGTTTTTAGCTGTGCAGGAATGTGTGAGAAATTTTTGTGAAATGGTAATATTAAGATATTCTTATGGTCATGGGTGGGCTTGGGGTCAGTTCTATAAAAAGTTTTCTTAGTAATGTTTAAGCATTTGTCTATGAAAGATCTAGGGTATTTAAGGTTTGAGCCAATATTATATATATATTTGTATTCCTCATCGATGAATTCCGGACTGCAAATTCTCAAGGCACGTAAAAACATTGTTGAAAATACTGACTGTTTGACTTTATTATGGTGGGCAGAATAATAATGAATGTATGAACACACATTAGTTGGTTTTCTATAAATACTGAACTTAAAAGTGTTACCTATTCTGTGTATCAGACAGTCTAGGAATGGCAATTTACAGTCTTGCTCTAATTCCACAGTGAATTTGATCGAGGGGGCTAAGTTGTTAAGTTGTGGTAGGAAAGCTTTTAGGTCCTCATTACATGGCCAGAGACATAATACATCATCAACATATCTAAACCAGACTGCTGAGGGTGGTAAAATATTACTTAATAGTTTCTTTTCAAAGAATTCCATATATAGGTTGCTTAATACAGGTGAGAGTGGATTACCCATTGCCATACCAAATTTTTGAGCATAATATTCCCCATTGAATTCGAATTTGCAATCCTTAATACATAGTTTGATGAGTTCGATGAAGTCGTCTTTCGAGACGGGCAGTGAAATGTTATCCAGGGAATCTATGAGGAACTCCAGTAAATCATCAACTGGGACCTTTGTAAAGAGTGACGTTACATCAAAGCTGACCAGTTAAAATCATGATTAATGTGTAAGTTATTGAGTTTATCAACCAGATCCATATTATTCTTGATATTGGAGTTAGAAATGTTGCCAACTAGGGGATTTAGTAAAGAAACATCATAGAATCTAGTCTTATTAAACATACCGAAGCATTCAACATGAATTTGAGTAACGGCATGTACAAGCTGGACAATTTTGTAATTAAGAAGATTTGTGATCAGGTGAGAAGGCCGGGTCACTTGACCATCTGACCTGACCACCAACCGTTGTGTGCTATTTAAAGATTAGTAGGGTCATTACCTAATACCTGACCATTGTGGACCTGGTCTCACCCTCCTCTGTATATATACACCTTGATTTGTATTACTCTCTCTAGTCTGTACTCACCCCTGAAGATGTGAATTACACGAAAGCGCTTGGGAACTTCGTGTTTTCTTATTTCCTTGTGGTTATCAGCATATATATATATATATACACACATATATATATATATATATATATATATATATATATATATATATATATATATATATATATATATATATATATATCTGATCTATATCTATATCTATATATCTATCTATATCTATCTATCTATATATCTATTTATATATTTATATATATATATATATATATATATATATATATATATATATATATATATATATATATATATATATATATATATATATATATATATATATATATATATATATATATATACATATATATTATTTTAGGTTAGGTTAGGAATCCGTTACATAAAACAATTGTACTGCACCGTTATCTTTTATTGAGTATGATCTAAAATCACGGTATAATGACACTAGTATCAATGTAATACAATGGAAATGTAAAAAGTAGCAACTTAATCTAAAATTACAGACTCAGAGTACAGTGAAAATGGATGTCTGACATAAGCCCCCCCGACGAAAGCCACCCAGACAAAAGCCCCCTACTTTGATCGGGGTGGCTTTTGTCTGACAACCCCAACCTAACCTAACTTAACCTAACCCTAACCTAACCAATAATTAACCACAGAGAAGAACAGTATATTTTACCCTCAACTATTTAATTATGTCCGTAACTTTTGAAAGCCCTTACTGTTGTCAGACAAAAGCCACCCCGATCAAAGTAGGGGCTTTTGTCTGGGTGGCTTTTGTCGGGGGGGCTTTTGTCTGTACCCCAGTGAGGATAGTGTCTTAGTATAAAATCGCAATGCTGTGAAACAAAATCTTAATATTTAATCTCAGTACCGCAGCAAAAGTCACATCAATATTTTTTAACCAATACTTTAATATTTCTTACCTTATAGTATTATGTCTTCCAACGAAGTAAATAACTGGATCGAAAACACAAGAGAACTTAAAAGTCGTCTAGCCTCCCCTCGTCTTGTCACGATGGAGACTTGTGCAGAACTGAAGTGAATTGCTTGTAACTGGTGGATTGGTCGGCTGTACATGAACTGATATGACCCGAGACTGCATGGTTTTGCAGCTACTGGAGACGTTAATCCATCCCTTTGTATCGGCGGCAAGTTAATCCTCGTCGTGTCTGACCTAACACCTGACCCACACCACATGAGCTCACTGGCGTACTTGTTTGAAGTTGTTTCCTTAATCCTCAACAGGTTACAGGTTGTGTGGTGTATGGGGCATAGCAAGGGGTACACACACACATAATAATAATAATTAACGGTTTATTGAAAGAGCTTGGCAGCCAGAAGGCTGAAAATATACAGTTACATATTTGGGGAATGGGTTACGAATTACAAATAATATACAAGTGACATAAGTGACACAAATAAGACATATAGTAACTTAGATGGGGATCAGCTCAAACTACAGTTCATTTCAACATAGTGACAGTGTAGGGAGCAGTGTTTACTGGGAGTGAATACACTGGTTTATTACATGTTATTGATAATTTTTACAATGGTTGGGACTGGGCTGTTCTTATAGCGATCAGTTCGTGCACGTATGGGCTGGATGCGGTTGTGGTGTCGAACAGCAATTCTCGGACAGGGGATCTCAGGTGGTAGTAGGGGCCGGTGTCGGGGGTGGTGTAGAAGCTTCTTACCAAATTTGCAGATGAGGCCGTGGTGATGGTCAGTGAGAGTCGAAAGGGTCAGTGTAGCTCATGACGTGGCCGCGATGATGTGGGTCAGGTGTTAGGTCAGACACGACAAGGATTAACTTGCCGCCGATACAAAGGGATGGATTAACGTCTCCAGTAGCTGCAGATATGGGTGATGAGCAGACCCAAAAGTCTCCCTGACCCACAACCTTCCGGTCCTCGTTGTATGATGTTATAATGATCAGACCAAAACATCCAAGCTAGTAAAAAAAACACACATGTCAGTAACTATGAGGGAGGTGCAGTTATTGTTTGTAAAATGTGAGGCTACATTATCACCTCAGGGGCTATTCTAGATACTGCACCTGATATTACTATGATCACTGTCTATATGTGTCATCAGGTCTCTGGTAAGGAAGCCTTGGTCTTGGCAGGAGGTGTAATGATTGTTTATCAGACCACAGCTTATAGCCCAGAGAACTACAACACATATAACAGTTGACACACCCTACAGTAAGTCAATGAGATTTAGGCCTGGGTAATTAGGAAGAGCGATCCACAGGGTACAGTAATTATACATACAGGTGATACTTAATACATGGGATAAATAAAACAAGATGACTAATTCACTAGTTTTAATATAACGAAGAGAATTAGATACGTTTTTAATAGACTGTATGAGTGACTAGTAAACGGAAGTCATGCCTGTAAAAGCAGACCAACTTTTCATTTGATCAAACTATATTTGGCTATATTGTATAGAAAAAATAAGAGTAAAACTACGATGTCACGTCTTTCTCTCTGTCCGTCTGTCTGTCTCTCACTATCTTAAACTATTTACTAACTATCACTCAGTATCTATCCTCTGTGTTAGTGTGTATCTTACAAAACTTTTTTTTTTTTAAACTTTCATTGTTCTATCTTTTTAAATAAACCAGAACCAACCCCCCACTATTATCATATTAACCCACTAGTGTTTATTTGATCTTGTAACATCAAGTCGTGAAGAAATAGTTGAGGTTATAAGAGATGAACCAAAGAAAGATGGCTTCAGTTATTGGCTGTTGAGAATAGAGAAGCTTGCCATTTAATTAGTTTCATTTTCTTTATTATAATTAAAGGGTAAACTATGATATTATATACACTTTAGTACGTCACCTCTGTATTGATTAATGACAACATAGTATAATGCAGAGACTTCCCAAGAATTGTAAAATATATATACTGTACAAGCATTTATGTATGATTTGTTTTTAACTTTCTTTTTTTTAGGTAGAACTATAATAATTTCTCTCGCTCTTCTTCATTTTCTTCGTCATCGTAAAAATCATCGAAATCATCATCGTCATCGTCGTCTAGGAAGAGATCATCGTCGGACCAGTGATTGGTCTCCTCCTTGTGGGCCTCGAGAGACATCAGTGTTGGGAAGACGTTTTCACACGTTGAACACCTGCGAGGAAGTAAGGAGGCCACGGTAATTATAAACACAGGGAGGTCTACACTGAGACACATTCTTCACTCCATGAGATAATCTACTTTAACATGATAGGGTGGGAGGTTTGTACACGACACACACACACACACAACCTAGCCTGGCCGAGGACTCTTATACCCAGAACTCCTGAACCTGTTAACTACGATGGTCATACGATAAAATACCTATCGGGGGGAGAATTTAAATTACCTGCCTGCCACTGTCGATTCGGTTCATGGACGTGAGACATACTATTAAGATCCTGTCCTCTCAGTTCAGGTCTCTCATTGTTTACTAATAACGTCCAGTCTATATATATATATTTTTTTACGGGGAATAGCCTACTCGAGCACAGGTCGCTGATCCACAACGGGGCCTGAGGGAAGAAAAATAAGAGTAGAAAGATATTAAAAATATAAAAGAAAAAGATTATATTAATCTACACCGCGAAGATGCCGGAAAACCAGCTTTTTAAAGTGAGACAGATTGTATGAGTATGGAAAAAGAAGAAGGCAGAGCATTCCACAGTTTGGCTGTGTGAGGAAAGAAGGATGTACTATAACGGGTTATTCTAGTGTGACCGACATCCACAGAGAAACGGTGGGCACCGCGGGCAAGACGAGCCCACGGCCTTGCCGGCGGTACACAGGATGCCAGATCCACCGAACATTGCCCGTTAAAGTACCTGTAAAAGAGAGAGAGTGAAGCAACATTGCGGCGAAGAGAAAGGGGAGAGAGATTATCAACTAAAGGAGGAGAGTTAATAGGAGGAAATGACTTACAATTGGATCTAATCCAATATAATCTTTTCCAATGGGTTTCAGTCCATTTTCGCTACCTTCCATTAGGGTTCAACCCACTTCCGCTGCCTCTCATTAGTATTCAGTTCCATTACGATGCCTTTCAATACGACACAACTCATTCGCACTTGTCTGGTACTCAGCCCCTCTCAGCTCATTGACGTCAGTTGTCATGTTAATGCTCAACTCATTCACTCACTCTGTCTGCCATTAGCAATTCAAGTGGATGACGATACCCCCCTCCTCCTACCTCCTCCCCCCTCCTCCTACCTCCTCCTCCCCCTCCTCCTACCTCCTTCCACCTCCTCCTATCTCCTCCCTCCCTCCTACCTCCTTCCACCTCCTCCTATCTCCTTCCACCTCCTCCTCCTCCCCCTCCTCCTACCTCCTCCTCCTCCCTCCTCCCACCTCCTCCTCCTCCTCCTCCTTCTCTCCTACCTCCTCCCTCCTACCTCCTCCCTCCTCCTCCTCCTACCTCCCTCCCTCCCTCCTCCTACTTCCTCCCTCCTCCTCCTTCTCTCCTACCTCCTCCCCCTCCTCCTCCTACCTCCTCCCTCTCCTCCTCCCTCTCTCCTCCTCCTCCCTCCCTCCTCCCTCCTCCTCCTACCTCCTCCCCCTCCTCCTCCTACCTCCTCCTCCCTCCTCCTACCTCCTTCCACCTCCTCCCTATCTCCTTCCACCTCCTCCTATCTCCTTCCACCTCCTCCTACCTCCTCCTCCTCCTACCCCTGTCCTTCTCCTACCTCCTCCCTCCTCCCTCCCCCTCCTCCTACCTCCTCCTCCTCCTCCTTCTCTCCTACCTCCCTCCCTCCTACCTCCTCCCCCTCCTCCTTCCTCTCTCCTCCTCCTCCCCCTCCTCCTCCTACCTCCTCCCCCTCCCTCCTCCTTCTCTCCTACCTCTTGTCACTACATCCTCCTCCTGAAGTAAAGATCGTGGAGGAGCATCTCATTAGTGTGTCTTGTTCAATACAGTGGATGTGTCTGTATGTGTAGTTCGCCCTTGCTTACCTTCCACCATCCTCCCTTCACTAGTAATTATTTCTCCTTGTCCTTGTTACATTTTATTCTATATTCTCTTGATTATCCCAACTTATCGTATGACTTCGTTTTACTTCACTTATTTAACTAATTACTTGTATATATATCAAAACCTACCTGTAATATTTACCTAAGAAATTAATTTAGTTCTAGGGTCACCTTGTATCTTATTTGCTTACCTGTTAAATTACCCCTATATTTACCTGTGTACACCTGCCTTAATTACCTTAATTGCACAGAAATTTTGTACCTAAATATTTAAATGGTAATCGGCTTGTCCTCTCTCTCTCTCTCTCTCTCTCTCTCTCACACTTACCCATAATGCCTCTTCCTGGTCTGGTGAGAGGCCAGGAGACGGGAGGTCGGAAAGGCTCTGTCGCATACATTACACGTTAGCGCCTCGTCTGTAGAGAAGAACAACACGGGGGTCAGTTATGTGGCGACAGAGGTCAGTTATGTGGCGTCAGAGGTCAGTTATGTAGCACCAGTTATCTTTTATAGTGGCTAAGGTCAATCATGTAGTGTTAGAGGTCAGTTGTGTAGCGCCTGAGGTCAGTTGTGTAGCGCCTGAGGTCAGTTATGTAACATTTAAAATAAATTATCTACAAGAAATAGTTAGCTGTATATCAAACAATGTCTTGCGAAAGCTATATCACACACCACTAGAGCTCTCTTAAAAGCTAAATTTATATACTGTAGCTGCAGCGATAAACGTCAAACGGTACGTCAGATGTGATAGAGAAACGTCATAATTTTGCTGCGTTACGTCATTGACTGTCTTTATATCTTTAAAGTTTATTTGGAATATTTTAGATCGAATTGAGAAGCGTTTTAATTTAGCTGTGATACGTTCGATAATGATGTCACAAAGTTAATGTTCTGTTTTGTAATTTATGATTGAGTTGGGAGCCATGGATATTTAGGTCGGCCCCAAAAATATATCAGTCGTTCGAAGCGTCAACAATATGAGAAAATGAACGAGAAACCTGAATATTGCTCTCTGAGGATATTTTATTGCAAATTAAATTGCTTCTTCTCACCTGTGAATACTATAAAGACGCGCAACGAATATTATTAGCAAATATTGAATTACTTCACAACTAGGCATACTAACCATTCCGAGATGACAAGAGCCATAGTGCTCATTCTGAAATCTATCTTGCCTAGCTGTTCGATATTTTTTTTTGTAGACTGTACAAGGAAGATTTATTGTGGATATATGATTCCCGTAAAACCATCGTGATGCGACTAGAGACATCTAATTATAAATTGCATTTAGTTGGCTACTCCGGGTCTAGATGGCGGCGTACTACTTATCATCTGCTATCTTTTCGAATTTGACGCTACTATGGTTAGTGACGATCAAGAAACTAGTAAATGAGTTGTTGAGTCCAATTAGTTAAAGTCATATCATCTATATAGAGCTTAATTGAAAAAAAAGTTAATGACAAGTCGGAAATGTTGGTATCCCTGGGCCAGCTCAGGTGCGGGGTCACGAGGCAATATTATTTATTGAGTTTAACAAGTCTATTTTCTTAAGGTTTTCTGTAAATAGTTCACTACTCGGGCAATAGGTGACACAATTTAATTTTTTTTTAAATGTCGGTAGGGCAGAGAGTAAGATTGTCTTAATATACCATTCTTGGGTAAGTTGGTTGACGAGAGCTTCTGTGTACAGGTGAGACAATGGTGGACGGTACTTTCGTGCTCAGCTCGTGAATGTGTTTTTTGAGGTGTTTATGTGACGCTTGCTGTACTATGACTGACACTAGTGGTGCAGGAACGTTCAATGACTACCTGTGTAAAGTACCGAGCCAATATCTAGTGTAAGTGATCAGTTAAAAGTGAAAATTTCAATGTTTCCTCTGGTTTCCTCTGACCGTTCTATACCGTAACTCGCTAATTACTCCAGGAACAGAACGGTAAGCTACTCAGTGTCAAACCTGTGAACGTGTCGGTGTGTTAGAGATATGAGTATATCTGATGGAGGTATACGTCCTGGCAGATCAACGTTATCCTGAGCTAAAATGAGACCTGCTGCCCCTTCACGACACCGTCCTTCCCACCAGACAACTTGAGGTAAGATAAACGATGGTTGTACAGTACAGTAAACAGGTGTGTTGGTGTACAGTAAACAGGTGTATTGGTGTACAGTAAACAGGTGTGTTGGTGTACAGTAAACAGGTGTGTTGGTGTACAGTAAACAGGTGTGTTGGTGTACAGTAAGCAGGTGTGTTGGTGTACAGTAAACAGGTGTATTGGTGTTTATTTTAAAGACATACATGTGTGTTTGTGACTGTGGGATTATCCATTTTGGAGATTTTAATTCGTTCTAAAATGGCTTTCGTTGGTAGTCATTAAAACAAAAAACGATTAATTTATAGTTTTACCGAGAGTTAAGTTTAGACAATTTTAAAACACTTTTCCTATATGACGTGTATCTTGTAAATTACCTAACCTAACCTTACCATCATCATCATCGTCAGAATCATCGGAATCGGATTGACTCATGTAATGATCATAGTCGGACGATGAGGACTCGACGATGGACGCTGATCCCGTAGACACCAAATCCACGTCTGAAGTGGGCGTGGTCACTTCAGCTGTGGTGGGCGTGGTAGCTGGGGTAGTGGGAGGGACCTTGGGAGTTTCTCTACGGAGGGCAGGGCTTGTGTTACCATTGGCGTCTTCCTCGGTGGCGGTGAGGCGGTCGTACCCTCGCTTAGTGGACCGACTCGAGTCTGTGGAGTAAAGGAGTGTGTGAGACGGCCTCTGTCTTCAGCCGTACGAGACAGTAAACAAACTATTGATGGTGAAGCATAGATATAGACATCAAGGTTGATTGATGGATAGTTATTCTGATTGATGGATAGATAAATTGATTGATGGATATATATGTGAATAACTAGAAAGATGGATTCACACAAATATAAATTACACACAAACAAAAAAGACAAAATAACCTAAAATAATACTGAACATTTATTTCCCAAAGCCTGAAAACTTAATTATTTTTGTTAATTAAAAAGACGAAATATGATTAAAAAATGTGAATTAAATAGACAAATATGATTAAAATATTCCAAGAGGATATTGGTGTTGACAGAGAGACATAAAATTTCCTCATAAGACATCAACATTAACAGGTGACAGGTGTGTGAGTGTGGCGATTTATACACCTGTACAACCTAATGGAAGATGATTCACTTGTGCCGGGATTGTCATTGTGATTTGCTATGGTATTATAAGTAATATGTGTGTCTGTTTTGATTCTGGTAACTTGGAGGAGGACAGGAGACGGGGGGGTATAGTGAAGGTGAGGGAGAATGGTGAAATATATTATTTTTGGGCTCACCTGAAGATTAGACACCTTAGATTATTTCACCTGATGAGTAATTGACGGTAGATTAACCTAACCTAATCTAATTTAACCTGTCCTAACTTATCTAAACTCAACTAAATCTAATCGAATTTAATCGAACCTAATCTAACCCAACCATAATCAAACCTAACCTAACCAACTCCCTCTCCAAGGTAAGAATAAAGTGGCTAATCGTTTTAAGGTGTAATAAGCTGACTTGATTAACCTGCAGGTGATTCTATCTTTACGTCATTATAGAACGGATATGAGAAGCTGATTATACTGCTGAATTATCACCGTTTATAATACCAATTACAAAAACACACCAAAAAACATGTATTAATCGTGTCTTAAAATCGTAGTCGATATTAAAGACGCGGATATGTTAATAGAAGTGAGAAAAAATATTTATTCTCTTCGTCACCATAGCAACCATTGTTATAGTCATCGTCACCATAGCAACCATTGTTATAGTCATCGTCACCATAGCAACCATTGTTATAGTCATCGTCACCATAGCAACCATTGTTATAGTCATCGTCACCATAGCAACCATTGTTATAGTCATCGTCACCATAGCAACCATTGTTATAATCATCGTCACCATAGCAACCATTGTTATAGTCATCGTCACCATAGCAACCATTGTTATAGTCATCGTCACCATAGCAACCATTGTTATAGTCATCGTCACCATAGCAACCATTGTTATAGTCATCGTCACCATAGCAACCATTGTTATAGTCATCGTCACCATAGCAACCATTGTTATAGTCATCGTCACCATAGCAACCATTGTTATAATCATCGTCACCATAGCAACCATTGTTATAGTCATCGTCACCATAGCAACCATTGTTATAGTCATCCCATAGAACCATTGTTATAGTCATCGTCACCATAGCAACCATTGTTATAGTCATCGTCACCATAGCAACCATTGTTATAGTCATCGTCACCATAGCAACCATTGTTATAGTCATCGTCACCATAGCAACCATTGTTATAGTCATCGTCACCATAGCAACCATTGTTATAGTCATCGTCACCATAGCAACCATTGTTATAGTCATCGTCACCATAGCAACCATTGTTATAATCGTAAACAGAAGAGCCGTAAATAAAGATCTACTTACCCTCCTCCCCTTCCCTCCTCCTCCCACCTACTGCCCTTCTTCCCCTCCTCCCCTACCCCCTCACCAATTCAATTTCAATTGTTTATTCCTTGATAGAGGAAGCGGGATCCTAGTGCTGTCACTAGGTACCCCTGTACAATGACACCAGAATCATCTGGCAAGTGTGAAAAGTATATACAGTATAAATATTATGAAGGGGCTTACTAAAGCCTAAGGAAGGAAGGATATTCCTTTAACACATAATCAATATTAATTACAAAATATCGGGCCAGTATTGGGAGGATCATCGTGTCTCCGTCAGGGGGTCGTGGAGTGGTGGTCCAGCAGGCGTCACGGAAGCGTTGTGTGTGGGGACATCTTAGGAGGTAGTGAATAAGGGTGCGGCTGTCGGGTCTTCTGCATAACGCACAAGAGCGTTGCTCAGGGGATGCGGGGATACCAATCTCCCAAGCAAAGTCATACCCAATGATGATACGGGCAGCAATCACGTCCCCCTTCCGCGACCCTTTCCCGTAGACGTACGAGAGGTCAGGAAGTTTACGGAGGACATCGTACCAGGTGGGCGGGGAGTCCAGGGGGATGGCTGCTTCCCGAGCTTCTCTCTGTTTGCGGCGGATTTGGGTCCTAATCTGTAAGAGTGTTCGAGGAACAACGTAGTCAGGTGTGGCCTTGTTACAGCCAGTCTTGGCAAGGTCATCTGCTGCCTCATTCCCCAAGATACCGACATGACTAGGTATCCATAGGAATGTCACAGGACGGCCTGCATCCTGAAGTGTGGATGTTAACCCTCGTATTCGGAGGATGAGGTCCTTATTTTCCCCTGATCCAAATGCGATCCCGTCGAGAGCAGACCTGGAATCGCAGCAGACAAGCAAGGGGCAGAAACCATCTGCTTCTTCCTCAGCGAGAAGGGCAGCAAGGAGGGCTATTAGTTCAGCCTGAGTGGAGGATGCCCCGTCAGAAACTCTGAGAGACAGTTTGATAGGCTCAGGGCATGAGGACGGGAGATGTAGACACCAGCCCCGGCCCTACCTGTAGCGGGGTCAACAGAACCATCAGTGTAGAGGACGACCCTACCTGGGGACCAGTGAGCGATCCTGGAGAGGTGGTATTTGCAGAGAATAACAGGGTTCACCTGGGATTTCGGGAGCGGTCCACCGAGGGCAATCACTTCAGGTTGAAAATCCAGCCAGGGAGAAGGAGACGAACCAACAGCAGGGGTGACAACAATATCAGGCAGGAGGTCGTGTTCCTGAAGGGCTCGGATGAGTGACCCTCGCCACTGTCTTCTAGATGGAGGTCGGTCTCGGACAGCAGTAGTCAAGTTGGTTTGGACATAGTTGCCCCGAGGATCCCGTAGAATGGAAACGGCAGTTTTTAGGTAAAACTCCTGGACACGATCCTGTAAGGGGGAAAGACCAAGTTCGTTATATAATAATAATAATAATAATAATTAACGGTTTATTGAAAGAGCTTGGCAGCCAGAAGGCTGAAAATATACAGTTACATATTTGGGGAATGGGTTACGAATTACAAATAATATACAAGTGACACAAATAAGACATATAATAGATGGGGATCAGCTCAAACTACAGTTCATTTCAACATAGTGACAGTGTGAGGAGCAGTGTTTACTGGGGAGTGAATACACTGATTTATTACATGTTATTGATAATTTTTACAATGGTTGGGACTGGGCTGTTCTTATAGCGATCAGTTCGTGCAGTATGGGCTGGATGCGGTTGTGGTGTCGAACAGCAATTCTCGGACAGGATCTCAGGTGGTAGTAGGGGCCGGTGTCGGGGATGGTGTAGAAACTTCTTGCCGAATTTGCAGATGAGGCCGTGGTGATGGTCAGTGAGAGTCGAAAGGGTCAGTGTGTTGAGCGCTTCTTGATATGTGGAGTAGGAAGGAGAGAATAATCTTGCATGCCCTCTTTTGCACTTTTCCTGGGTGTTTACGTTGTGTGGCATTTAGGGAGGAAGACCAGGTGGGGGAGGCATAGGTGAGCTTGGGAAGTATGAATGTTGTGTATACACTGAGGAGCTCGTGTGCAGGAACTCCGAGGGACTTGAGTCAGCGGAGGAGGTGGAAGACGAACTGGAGGATTTGACAACTTCGCAGTGGTTTCCAATTTAGTTTGTTGTCTATGGTGACGCCGAGGAGCTTCGTGGAATCTACAACCTGGAGTGTGTTCGGACCAGAAATGGAAGGAGTGGGACAATGTCGGAGGAGAGGTTGATGTGCATAACCATGGTCTTGGTATGGTTGATGGTGACATGGTTGTTGGTGGCCCAGTTTTGGAGACTGTTCAATAAATCTGAAGGGGCGGTATAGTTGAGCAGAATTGTTGACCTGATCCCAATGGTGGAGTCGTCGACATATTTCCAGCGAGCAGGGGTTTCTCTTAGGGCATCATTGATGAGCATAAGGAAGCAGAGTGGTCCCATCTTGGTGCCTTGGGGACGCCACAGGTGAGTGACTGAAAGTGGAGACAGCCCTCAAGCGTACAGCTTAGCGTCGGTCACTGAGAGTCTATATAAATATAGTATGAGACTTCTCAGCCAAGGTCAATAGCTTTGTTTATGATTATATTGTGGTCGACTAGTCGAACGCTTTAGTGAAATCAATGAAGGCGACAGCTACAGACGTTTTTCGTTTCTCCGAGATGGCGGTATATGTAATCGAAAGCTGGCAAGA